GCACAGACAGAGCTGTGATGGCTTGACTGGAGTGGGGGCCACAGGCTGCAGGGTCCACACTGAGAAACAGGCTGGAGACCACTGGCCTCCCAGATCCACCCAGCCACGATGAGTTAGTAGATTGGCAGCATTGCTCCCTAAGCATGCTGGGCTCACGGGGGTCTCAGGCTGCGGCAGACTTTCCCAGGGAGAGAGTCAGCCCGGCAGGCAGGGATTGGGTTGCAATGACTCTGAGCCCTGTCACTCCTCTCTCTGCTTCATGAAAGTCACAGGAAGAGGCTGCTAACTTGGCAGAAGAGAGAGCCAGCATGGGGTGGCATTTCTCCCCTGCAGAGGCTGCCTTGCAGTCTGAGTGCCTACCACAGGCGCGGCAGGGTGGGCCCACCGGGACTTGGTTCCGGCTCCTGACGCTGTTTGTCGTTGCAGTTGAGTGGACGGTAGGTGGTCACAGGGACAGTTGAGCGCAGCAGAACGAAGCTGGCCTCGGAAAGTGCTGAGTGAGCAGTTGTCAGCATCCTGAGTCGAGCCCTCTCTTCTGGGGAATTAACTCAGGCAGGGAAAGGGCACCTCAGACACAGTTCTTCCCAATCGAACCTGCTGCCTGTCAGCGTGGCTTCACCTCAGCCTGCAGATTGGGCGGACCAGACTGTGGTAGCTGTAGTGGGTGGAGGCGGGTATGGCAACCCCACGGGGCTTTAGGGTAGGGTTTCCAGTGAGGATGCTGCGGGCTGCCCCTCCAGTGGCCTTCTGAGCTATGCCCTCGGCTCTCTGGGTCTCCTTCCCACCCCAGCTTATCCCTTCTTCTGGACTCCCTGTTTTAAAATGCCCTCACCACCTTGGAGGAGCAGCCATCGCAATGCCATTAGCCTCTCCTTTTTGGATTCATCGTGCATTTCTGAGGCCTGAGGCCGCAAGCTGCAGTGGCCACTGTGATGGCCGCCACAGACAGGACTGAGTGGGGAGGGAAAGGCCATGCTTCCTGAATGGCAGATCGTATATTTACATTTAAAATGAGGCCCCGCAATTCTGCTTGTGCATTGAAGAGCGTTGCTTTTAGAATTGAGCTGAATGGTGTCATTAGTCCATCTGTTCTGGGGCTGGTGCACAGCTGTGGGAAGCTGATGGCTGTAGAAGGTGGTGAGGTATGTAAACAGGTGGGAGGTGAAGGGACTTCCCTCAGGTGGCTGTCAGAACAAAGTTTCTCATGCAGCGTAGACAGTCAGCGTAGACCAGTGGAGGTTGGGTGTCCAACATACCCTCACTGATTCCACGCAGAATGAGGAGAGGGCCCTGCAGCAAGGAGCAGGGGCGGGGATGGGGTGGCTGGCTGCCTTTGGCTGGCTGTTGGGCACACTTGGCTGAGTGTGGTGAGGTTGTATATGAGGGCAGGTAAGGTCTCTGAGGGGGCTGGTGGAGGGCACAGGGGAAGCCACACCTGGAGACTGGGGAGAGGAAGGGCCAGTGCAGGATAGTGGCATCATCAGATCACCTGGAAGGTTCCTTAAAACAGTATACGCAGCCCAGGCTGGTGTGGCTTGGTTGGGCATCCTCCCGTGCACCGAAAGGTTGCTGGTTTGATTCCCAGTCAGGACATATGCTTATATGGGGGCTCAATTCCTGGTAGGGGCATGCAGGAGGCAGCCAATCAATGTTTTGCTCTCACATCAATGTCTCTCTCTCCCTTTCCCTTCCTCTCTAAAAATCAATAAAAATATTTTACAAAAACAACACCAGAAACACCAGTATTCTCAGAGTTTTGATTCAGAAGGTCTGGGAGAGGGATGACAGTTTGTATTTCTAACAGGTTCCTAAGTGAGGCTGGGCTGCTGGTCAGGGGCCACACTTTGAGGCCCATGAGTCTAGCAGGAAGGACTAGATGAGATGGTGCCTGCGCACTTTGTACACAGTGAACGGCACCCAACAGACATTTTTTATTAGAATTGCGAGAGGGTGAGATTACAGACTCCAGCCCTTCACCGAAGCTTCCCCTTTCTCTTTTTGGCTTTTGTCCGTACCTGGTCAGATGTCATAATGCTTTCAGCATCGTAGAACGTTTTCCTCTTTTCCTGGTCAGATGGTCTATAGCAGGTGGCATGTGGCACACATTAGAGCTTGAAAAACAAACGTACTTGGGCCCCAGGCAGAGACTCTGAAGGAATGATCTGGGCAGGCCCAGGAAATCAGTATTTTTTAAACTTCCCCAGGAGCTTGTAATGTGCAGCCAGGATTGGGAACCACTGATCTATACTGAGTGTATTTTTCTTCTTAGAATGGGGTGTCCACCCCGTAAGCTTCTGGGGCACTTCCTTTATCTGGACCTCCCTGGGTTGTCCCTGACACCCAGTGGTACAGCCTCCCCGTCTGCTGGCCCATCTTTCCTGATCAGCCACCTCACATCGGGTCCTATCCTCCCTCCGGTTCTCTGAGAATCCGTCTCCAGTGAGGTCCTCTCTCGCTATGGAGAAGTCCAAGTTACCTGCCTTATTCGGAGGCTACCAGCAGATTTTACTCTGTCAACACCTCTGTGAGGACCACAGGTAACCGATGGTTCCCGGCGTTTGTGTCTTTCAGTGACACAGAGAGTAGAAAATTGTGCAAGAAGATGAAAGTTGACCTGAGCCCAAAGGACAAAAAGGTCGAATTATTCCATTACCAGTAAGTACACGTGGTCATTTCCAATTTCCAAGTAAGTGCTGAGAGCTTTCATTGGTATTCTCAGTGCACAGCGATTTTAGGTAGATCAATTTTATCCCGGAATGATTTTTTTTTTTCCTGTTTACAGTTATTTCATTTAAAAACATCTTGAACTCTGTTCAATAGCTGAATCTTATTAAGATGCTGCAGGAAACCAAAGGTAGGTCTCTTCACAACCATTCCTGTAGTTAACACCTTGTTCTCTCTTTTGACAGGGACGGTGCATTTCACACTGAATATAACCGAGCTGTGACATTTAAGGTAAATTTACCTCCCTCGTTCTCAGCAGAGCTGGATCTGAATGGATGCCAAAAGTCTGGCAGCTTCTCTCTGAGAGAAGGAAGGGCAGAGAGCACAAATAGCTCTTCTGGAGGACCTGAGGGAGTCTTATCTCTCAAGCGCATGTCAGCAAAATATCAGTGGAAGTTTGTAGCTCTTAGCACAGTAAGGATGACCAGCCTCACAGCTAGTCTGTGCCTCCATCAGCAGTGACGTCACGCCTCTCCCCTCCCAAAGCCTAGTCTCCCTTCGCTGTGGCTTCAAGGCCCCCTCCCCCACCTCTGCAGCGGTGTCCACGGTGGCTGCCCACGGGCTGGAGGGGGCTGGCTGTGCCCAGGTTAGCGCGCTCTGCAGGACACCGGCAGGCTGGCACATGTGGGTTGATGCAGCTTGTTCCAGATGAGATGCCGATGTCACCGAGATTTTCCTTGCTCCAAATCCAATTTAGAAGCGGATGGGAAAACATCAGTGAACATAAGTGTGGAGAGCCCGTGACCTGCAGGTGCTGTCCTGTGATCACCAAGCCGCTGCCCCACCCCGCCCCGCGCCCTTCTCCTGCCCTTGGATTCTGCTCCTTCGCCATACGCATTCCCTTCCTCAAACCAGCCTTCTTCTACCTGTGGTCCAGGCCACATCCCCTGCCCTGGCGGGGGCTGCACATCTCTCCCGTTCCCAAATCTGCCAATCCCATGCGTTCTGACTTTCCTGCTTCCCAGACTGGATTCGACCCTGTACTCCTCTCTCTCTCTGTCTGTCTCCATCGGTGTCTCCTTCCATCCCTTCCTATCCAGTCTGAGCAGCTGTCTCTGCCCCTCCCCCCCACCTCCCTGCCATCTCTTGTTTATCCACTAACGCTGCTTCCTTTTCAGTTGCTGCAGCTCTTCCCTGACACAGACTCAGCCTGATTACTCATTTTAACACCCACTTAGACACTTAGAGACAATGCTACCAACTGGAGTTGCTTAACCCCTCTTACTCTGTGTGAAGACTTCCACTGAAGTCTTTGGAGAGAACATGTGCTCCCCAGGAGCAAGGTTTAGCTCGGTGGGGTGGGGAGGTGCCTCTGCAGCGATGGAAAGGAGAGGCTTTGTTTTGTTCTAGAGGTTGTGTTCAGTGCATGTTTAGCCAGCCTCAGAGAAGTCTGCGCTGTGAGTGTGTACTAGGGGATGGCCGCTGCTCAGAATTGTCATAGCAGGAACGGAGCAAGGAGCCCCGGAGGTCTGAGATGGCCTGGGTGGGGTGGCCAAGTCCTGGCCTTCGTCCACCTCTTTACAAAGACTAGGTGTGTGCGATCTTGTCCTTCTGTGATTTTTTATGTCAATAAGCCAGAGAGGTGGGCTGCGCCTTGTACAGGGTCAGTTTTTAATGGAGAGAGGAAATCCTTGGTCCCAGGGTCCCCAAAGCCCACAGGACCATATGGATTGGGGTAGAGCCCCTGACATTCTCCAGGGCAGGGGTAGTGTTCCAGGGACTGCCTGACAGCTTCTGCTTCTAAGCAGGAGTGGCGAGACAAAGGCCCTCCCTGGTCACGGGTTGGTTCTCCTTTCGGGGCTTCTCCTGGGCCTGTCTCCAGAGAGGTAGGGTGGGCACAGCTTGGGCTCATGCTCTGACTGCTGTTGCTGTCCTCCTGCACAAGGCCTGGTCACAGCAACTATGCCGACTATGCCCTGGCCCCTGAAGAGGCCAGAGGCCAGATAAATGAGGGTAAAGAGCAGGAAACTCCAAGAGGAAACTTCTTGTTTAAGGGGCCTTCTGCTTGTCAGCAGTCTGTCCAGCAAAATCCTTCCTATGTATAAGTGGTGAGGACCAAAGGTGCCTCAAAACTGAGATGCAGATGGCTCTCTGATGACCTTCTTCAAGGCCCTGTAGCCATGAACTCATCCTAAAGACCAAGGTGCAGGTGTTGGGCCGTTTCCCTGGGATGCAGAGCACCCGGAATAAGCCGGCTGAGGGTGGGGTCAGGGCTGCTCCCTACACACTTTCCCACCCAAGTTCTTGTTGGTTAGAACAATTTGAAGAGAGCCTATGAATGGGATTATTCAACTTCAGTTAAAGGAGAATAATCTCTACCTGAAAGCAAAAGATTACAAGTGTGAATGTTTCAATTAATACATTAAAAGAGGCTATTTCATGCTTTTTCCTTGCTGCTGAGGAGGGGGTAGGGGAATGTGATACTGCGCTAACCCTTTAACTCAGCTCGTGCTGGTGTGGGACAGGAGCCCCCCAGAGTCCTGCCTAGTTTGGGTTCCTCGCCCACTGATAGTCCACCTGAAAGTCCCGGACCTCCTCACAATCAGTGTGTGAGCATACATTAAAGTAAGTGTGTTCACATGAGTCTGGGGTTTCCCAGGCTCTTGAAGCCCACCGTGCACCCTAGATTGAGAACCCTGCACCAGTGCGCAGCTGGGCACCTGCAGCATCTCTCTCAGTGTCCCAGTGAACAGGTGTCCCTGCAGCTGCGGGTGAGCGTGGGTCTCGGAAGGCTCTGCCGGTTCCATTTTGGCCTGTACTGTCGCAGTGTAGCTTAGACAAGGGACTGGGGAAAGGCCATCTGCCTTTGGTGGAAACGCCCTCCTCTTGCCAGGAGGTGTTTCAGAGCTCCGTTTGAATGGACAGGGAGCATTACCTGAATGAAATCCTTCCGAGTCTTGGCTGTGCCCCATTCTCCTATAATAGCTCCTTCGAAATAGTTTCCAGAAATAAGCCTCACACGTAGCCTCCCTGAGAGGGTCTTTCCCTGTCTCACCCCAGACCTCCCTCCCTCCCCCAACATACACAGGGACACGCCTAATTCATCCCATCCTCATTGGAGTTTGAGCAGAGTGGACAGGAGCAGCAGAATCTTGCATCAAATTGGGGGATACTGAGGTCTCTGTCTGTTGCCACAGAGGCCGGCAGCTCCCTCCAGGGTGGAGGGATGGAGCCTGGCTAGTTTCTGGTACCCATTCCTGGTTCTCAGACTTTGAGCACCATTTCCCAGAGTGACAGGGGAAAGGGTATGCTGCGGGTGTCCTGGACCAGTGACGTGTGGCAGGTCGGAGGGGGGTGGAGGGACCTGCCCCCTGGCCCCCGCCCCATGGTGTCCTTCCCAAAGGAAGCAGAGACCGGAGTTGGTTGTCCATGTGACAGAGGCTACTTCAGCCCTGTACCTGAAGCTCTTTGTCCGGTCTTCAATCCTGGTCCGTCTAGACAGGAGTCCAAGGAGAGAAGTACAGCAACCAGGCCACAGAGATGGGCCCCCTGCTCTGGGGCTTCCCATCCCAAGCTCCACAGAGGAGGGTCAGGGTTAACGCTCTCTCACCCAGTTGAGATCATGAAATACCAGGCAGGTTACGAGTAGGTGTGATTACCTACTTACGTGGTGAATGCTTTTAGTGGCTGCATGAAAGTGCAAGTATCTGCTCTGGGCAGGGCTGGAGACCTTTATTCAAACCCATCAGGGAGATTTCCTGGAGGAGGTGGGATTTAGCAGAATGTATCTCTGGTTTGAATAAGCCAACTGATTGTCTCAAATTTCCTTGTTTGGTTCCATGGAGAAGGACAGTAGATATGGATCAACTGACCAGAGTAAAGTGTCATGTGGCTGAAAAATGGCCTGGTGGAGGGGGTGCATTTTTAGGGCCTTCACAGTGACGTCAGTGGGCGACAGAATGACACACTCCCAAGTGTATGCCCATAGGCCGCATGCAGTTCCCTTCCAGGCACCGGGGTCTCCAGGCAGGGAAACAGGCAGATTCCCGTCTCCCCCACCTCCCTCTTCCTGGCTAAATTGAGTTTTGCCTTCTGTCTTCTTTTCCTCAGTCCATAGTGGCCTTTCTGAAGGATCCGAAAGGGCCCCCGCTGTGGGAGGAAGATCCTGGAGCCAAAGATGTGGTTCACATTGACAGTGAAAAGGTAACATATTCCCCATCAGTTCTGATGGTCGCTGGAAGCGTCCCCTGAACCATGGCCTCCCAGGAACAGGTGACCAAGCAGCTGAGAAGCGGGAGTGTTCTTGACCAGCTGTGCTTTCCCCCAGGGGAGCTGGGCCAGGACCCTCCTCTCCGATGCTCCTCCCCAGCCTCACAGGCTGCCTGGGAGCTTCCTCCATGGACTCTTTCTTAATGTATTTTAACATGTTTAGAGTTTCCTTATAGGAATATCTATTTAAATGTCCTCTCCTTGTTATGTAATCTGGTTGCTGCTGGAATCGACTTTGTGTTTTTTGCTTTTTAAAAAAGTGGGTTTGAGTTTGTTGTTGTTTTTAAAGAATCATCTGCAAGGTTTGGGTTATATTTCCAGAGGCTTGGGTCAGGTCTCTAATATTCTGAGGCATGGTGTAACTTTGAACAAATTGTTTACCCTCTTTAAGCTTCAATTTCTGGGTTTGGCCAGGATTAGGGGGGTTGGAGGTACTGATTTATCATCTCCATACAGCCTTGACTCTCTTTCCTTTTTAAGAAGCATGTCAAGTGCCAGGAGTTGGTGGCACCTGTGCCTATAGCTATGCAACAACAAACAGCTCAAAAAGATGTTGCTCCTGGGTAGATCTTGTGATAATATGCAGTTTTAGCCCTTGGCCAGTGATAGCCTGGTGCCTCCCTCCCCAAGATGTGCATGTCCTCAGGCTCCTAAGATTGCTCTTCTGTGACTAGAAATATTAAGCAAATATTTTTTCACGTCTGTAGGCAGTCCTCTTGTTATACTTTCTGCCATTTCTCTCATGTAGAAATATAGATACAGCTGCTTTTTCGCTAATCAAATCCCCATATGAAATGACTAAAAGTTCCAAATGCAAGTTGAATTGCCGATTCATATTTGTAATCCATCCTTACTGAAGGTAACTAAGCATCTTTGAATGTAAAGTAATATCTGTTATTACTCAGGAAATGAAACCAAATTGTGACAGGCTCAGAAAAACGTTTCTTCTCAGACCTTTTACCAGGTTTTATCTGTAGGGATTCCAGATCATTTTCAAAGTGTTTGCATCCTCCATCCCAAGTCAGGGTCAAAGATTGGGTTACAAATTCTGTCTTAAAATGAGTGCCTTTTGGCCAGACATGGAAACAAACTAAGTGTCCTTTGCTAGATGAATGAATAAAGAATATGTGGTGTATATGTATATACAATGGAATACTACTCGGCCATAAGGAAAGATGAAATACTGCCATTTTTGACAACATTGATGAATGTTGAGAATATCATGCTCAGTGAAATAAGTCAGATGGGAAAACAAGAACCATATGATGTCACTCATGTATATAAAACAGAAAGCAACAAACAAAGGAAAAACTCATAGATACAGACAACAGTATGGTGCTTATCAGGGAAAAGGGGAGTGGGGGGAGGTAGCAAAGAGTAAAGGGGGCCAGCCCTGACCGGTATGGCTCAGTTGGTTACATGTCTTCTTGTGCAACAAAAGGTTGCTGGTTTGATTCCCTGTTAGGGCTCATGCCCAGGTTGTGGGCTCTATCCCCAGTCGGGGGGTGTAAGAGACAGTCAGTGGATGCTTTACTCTCACATTGATGTTTCTCTCTCTCTCTCCTTCTCCATTCCTCTCTCTCTAAAAATCAATTAAAAAATAAAAAAGTAGCCCTAGCCAGTTTGGCTTAGTGGATAGAGTGTCGGCCTACTGACTGCAGGGTTCCGGGTTCGATTCCGGTCAAGGGCACATGCCCGGGTTGCGGGCTCGATCTCCAATAGGGGGCATGCAGGAGGTAGCTGATCAATGATTCTCTCTCATCATTGATGTTTCTATCTCTTTCTCCTCCCTTCCTCTCTGAAATTAATAAAAATATATTTTTTTAAAAAGTAAAGGGGGCCCAATGTATGGTAATGGAAGGAGACTTGACTTTAGGTGGTGAACACACTATGCAACATACAGATGACGTATTCTAGAATTGTACACTTGAAACTTATCTTTTTTTTTTTTTAAGGAATAGCTCTGCCTTTTCTTTTTTTAAAAAATATAGTTTATTGATTTTTTACAGAGAGGAAGGGAGGGAGAGAGAGAGTTAGAAACATCGATGAGAGAGTAACATCGATCAGCTGCCTCCTGCACACCTCCTACTGGGGATGTGCCCTCAACCAAGGTACATGCCCTTGACCGGAATCGAACCCGGGACCCTTCAGTCCGCAGGCCGACGCTCTATCCACTGAGCCAAACCGGTTACAGCGAAACTTATCTTATTAACAAATGTCATCTGAATAAATTTAATAAAAATTTAAAAAATGAGTGCCTTCGCTCTCTAGTTATATAAACAAGAGTAAACATTTTTCAGAATTTATTATAAAATGTTTTAAATTCCCATAAAATATTTGTAATCTTCTCTATCTAGCTGAAAAAATTGTAAGTAATGTGTATTCATGGTTGAAATTTTAGAAAATATAGCTTAAGGGTAAAAGAAAGAAAAAATCACTCCATCCCTTCCCTTAGAGATACCACTGCTGGTATTTCCTGTAGCCTTCTAGGCTTTCAACATAATGCGGTACATAAATATTAACAAAAGTTTCATTGGCTGTTATATGCTGTTTTGTAACTTGCTCCCCCACCCCACTTAATGTAACATGCACATCTTATTGTGACATTAAATACCCCTCTTCATAGTTTGCAGTGATGCAGCAATATTCCATTGTGTGGTGGTAGTACCACCATCTATTTACCTAACGTCTTGTTGCTGCCAGAAAGCAGCATTTTGAAATTTCCTCTTATTTTCCTTATTGTTCAGAAGAGAAAAACCTCTCATTTTCTTCTATGGAAACTGGTTAGAGGAGCTTATCTTAATCAAAATGTGCTCTGTCGTGGCGCTTCTTTGCCGTCCTTAATAGATTTGCCTTTTCCTGAACACGGTTGGCTCTCGTGGGAAGAAAGGTCTCCTGCCCTGCTCTCGCAGAAGGCTCTCCATTAGCACTGTTGTGGCCTTTGTCTTTTTACATTGATTGTATTTATTCAACCAAGGATTTTATATTGCCTAACAATGGGCCGGGCACTGTTCTCTACGGGTTTTACAAATACCCATGGTCAGTGTAGCTTGTAACTTCCTGGGGGTGGAGGGCATGTCTTGTCCTATGCTCACAGCGGGCTCTGGGGACATGGGTAATGGGGGCCGGGCTGGGGCCGGGGGAATAGATTAGCAGGTGTGGGTTAACCCCATGTTCCAGATCCCTGTCTGACATGTCAGGCCTACGTGAAAACAACCACCCATCACAGCACAACCGCTCATAGACGATGTGAGAAGGGGCAGCCTGGTCGACAGCCTCATGCGGCATGAAAAGCTCCCTGTAGACGTTTAATTGTTCAGGTGGAGCTGAAAGTAAAGCTGGTAGCCTGGTCCCGACTCCTTCATCCCAGGAGGTGGCCATGGGAAAGCCATTGGTCTGCTCGGGGCCTCAGTTTCCCCATCTGTAATATGCAAGCATGGTGCAGAAGAGATGGTTTCTGGGGTTCTTTCGGCCATGACTCTTACCGCCAACCCCCAAATCTGACAGTGGGATTTCTGCAGTGCTCGCCTGCCCCGCCCAGCACTGTGGTCCTGGGGGATGGGCCTCTGTTACTGTGGAGTGTGTGACCTGTGGTGTTCTCTGCTTGTGCCTCAGGACTTCAGACGGCTCCTGAAGAAGGAAGAGAAGCCGCTGCTGATGATGTTTTATGCCCCGTGTGAGTGACTGTTCTCCTTTGGGCCAGGATTCTTGGCGGGGCAGCTGGGGGTTGTGGGGCGGGGAGACTGGGAACAGGCCCCCGGTTTCTCACTTAGAACCCAAGTCATGCTGCTCATCCCATCTCACCATCTGTGCCTCTTGTCCTTCATCTTGACCATTTCATCTGGCTTTTCTCCCTCCTGCTTCTACGTCAGTTTTTCTCTTGCTGGAATCGGCATTCTTCTGCCCTCTGCACCCCAAGGTCCACCCAGCCACAACTCAGGTCTCCTCTCAGGTTCCTGCCCCTGCCCCTCTGCCTCCCGGGGGCCTGAAGCCCCTTCCCTGCCAGCTCTGTGCCTGGTGAGACCTCGCCAGAGTCTCGGTGCGCTCTCCAAGGTGCTGCCGCTGCTCGCCACCCGGAGCCCTGCTGGCTCCTGGCAGCTGCTCCTCCAGCTCGAGCTCCTCCAGCTCTAACTCCTGCACACCTCTGCTGGTGCCACCTGGGAGGGGAGGGGAGTCAGGACCAGGGAGCAAGTGGTTCGGTCTCTGGATACGGCAAGAGGCCATCGGGAATAGCAAAGGATCACTAAGATGACAACCAGAAGACCTGGGTCCTAACCCCAGGTGTACTGCCAGTGAGCTGGGGGACTTGGTCAAGTCCTTCACCTCCCTGTTCCTCGGCTTCTGTTTTTGGAAAAGAAGGGGTTGGATCAGAGCAGTGGCCTTCAAACTTTTTGACGTATTTCACAGCATTAAAATTTTTTCATTGAAACTCAGTACTATAAGTATACTTAAATTATATATAAACAAGCTGAAACAAAAGTTTCACAGAATCATACTAACCTTTACTACATACTCTACCAGAGGTAGTACCCACTGATATTTTCTTTTTTATTCTGTTTTATTTAAAAGAAGTCATTGGTTCTTCCAACTACTTCATAACCCTCTAATAAAGGGTCGACAAACTCTGGCCCCTAGGCTGGCTGCCTTTTTTTGTAAATTAATTTTTGTTGGAACACAGCCACGTCCGTTTGTTTACACTTTGTCTGTGGCTGCTTCCAAGCAGAGTTGAGTAGTGACAGTATGTCCCCCAAAGCTTCAGATATCTCCCGTCTGGGCCACCCCTGTAGTCTAGTGGGTCCTGACCCACCGATTAGGAAACAATGGACCAGAGCCTGTGGGAGGCCCCTACAGCTGGGACTCAGTGACCATCACATGCCCCTCATGACAGCCAGATGCCTGACAGCTGGAGAAGGAGGGGCTGTGGGTAGTGGGAGGTGGGTGTGCCTGGGATTCTGTGGCTCAGCTGGGTATCATGGGCTGTGGCACTGGGGTTCTGTTGACTCTTGAAAGTCCCTCTTCCTGAGAAGTTCTTTGAGCAAAGGCCCCTCCCACTCCCACCCTGGTGACCATGCCTCCCCAGCTGATGCTCTTCTGTGGGGCTCTGGTGGTCCTGCCTGACGTGGGGCTGTTCACCATGACAACAGCCTCTCTCAGCTCATGTTGGTCACTGTGTGGCCCCACCTGCCCTCCCCACAGACACCTCGCTGGCCCCAGGGGTGTGCCTGCCTGTGCCTCTTTTCCTAGGAGACCTGGCTCTGCCTAGAGTGCTCCGTACTTTAACCCCAGGTCATTTTCTTTATAACACTCAGTGGTTGGTTTCACCCCCTTTTGTTTCTCCTTGGAGGGGTCTTTTTAACTGCCTACCTGTGAATTGCTTAAGGATTGTCCTGCCTACACAGCCCCTTGAAGACATGAACCCCCTCCTTTGGCTCATGTCCGAACTCTCAGGACTCAACACATTGGTTAAGTGAGACTAAAACAGTGTATGTCAGTAGATAGCACGCGTCACAAGCAGGATCCTGGTATAACCACAGGATCAGTATAATGACACCTGTTCATCCCTAACCAAGAGTGGGTTCCTCGCAGTTGGCACTTGAATGTGTCATCCCTCTCAGCCACTCCCAGGCTGTCTGGCAGTGTGCCCATCCTCCTCATCACGGTGGGCAGCGATGCCAGCGTGGGCATTATCGTCACAAAATGGGAAGCTGGGTGGGAGAAGTTAGGTTACTTGTAGGTGTCATGGCAGTTAGTGGGGGAGGGAGGGAAGAAACGCATAGCTGTGAAGTTCAGATTTGTGGTGGGGGGGTTGGGTTAGATGGCCTCCTGGGTCCTAGGCGAGGAACCCCAGGATTCTTTCGCTGTTGGTTTTAATGAAACACAGTTGTGCTTTTATTCTACGCTGGCACTCAGGTCTTCCATGGCCTCATAAATGAGCTTATGCCTGGGACACACACCGATTCTCTAACTGGGGAGCCTTTCAGGGCTCCAACCCTTTGATCATGTTTGGGGTGAAGGAACTCAGAGGCTGTGTGAGCCTTTAGTTGTGACAAGGAATCTGGATCCCCAGGACCTACGGTTTATTTAGTGAATGTTTGTTGACTGCATTAACGAGAAAATAATAGGCTGACTGCTCTAACCTTTAGGGTTTGAGAGGGCTAATGAGTCTTATCTCTTCCCCTGCCTCCCACTGGATCAGTGGGAAGATAAACTCAGATAGGTACCGGCTCTCTTTTTGGTAACTGGCATGACCTCTTCCCCCAAAACTTCTTCCCCCTGCTGGCCTCCACCCATGGGGACAGTTGGCCGACTCACCACTCATTGAGGGTTTGAGTGGTAATGTTGCTGCAGGCTGCAGCAGGAAGAGCTGGGAGAGAGAGGCCGCACCTGTGGGGACAGGTAATAAATTAGGCTCCTGACTGATGAGTGTAGTACAGTGGGTGTCAGAGTCCTCCCATCTCATCAAGTCACTGAGTAAAAGTGGGCAAAGGGGTGCAAGTGTGCCTCCTGTTTTCTCCCCTGGATTGTGAAATGACCTCCTCCGTTCCCTGTGGAAGTGTTTTCCTCGTGGGCCAGAAGGCAAGCCCTCAGGCCTGGTGCTGACTGAGCCTCCTCTGCTGAATACCTGGCTCTGTCCCTCAGCCTGCAGGGCAGGTGCTGTTTCTACTACACAGGAAGGGAACGGAGGCTCAGGCCTCTTACGTCAGTAGCCCAGGGCCATATAGGCAGGAACAGTCAAGGGGAGATGCTCCCCAGAGCCGGGCTCCTTCCTCTGCCGTGCAGCCTCGCGTCGTTCCCACTGGGTGGCATCCACCTGGTGGAGGACGGTGTCCAGTGAAGTGGGCCTTCGTCCTGCCCTCAGAATCCCACAGTGGGAGCTGCTATGCCCCCTGACAAGTGTCATATCGCTTCCTTCATGACGCTGTGGGGATTGTGCTATGGTGGCAGCTCCTGGGGAGGGCACATCTTTTGTGTTTGTTTATTTTTATTAATCTCAGAGAGGAAAGGAAAGGGAGAGAGAGAGAGAGAGAGAGAGAGAGAGAGAGAGAGAGAGAAAGACCAATGAGAGAGAATCATTGAGAGAGAGAGAGAGAGAGAGAGAGAGAGAGAGAGAAAGACCAATGAGAGAGAATCATTGATCAGCTGCAACCCGGGCAAGTGCCCTGACCAGGAATCAAACCGTGACCTCCTGGTTCACAGGTCGATGCTCAACCACTGAGCCACGCTGGCCGGGCAGGGGAGAGCACATCTTGTCTTCTGAGGGCAGATGCCTGGGGTCACCCTGCGTCCTGACCTCGCCACAGCTTCTGCTCTCCTAGTCTCCCTGAGTCTGAGCCTGAACTGATGGCATGAACTGAAGCCCAGGCCTAATATGCTGGGGGTGAGGGGGTTCATCTGTCTGCCAGGCAGGAATGTCAGGGAGGGGGCCATGGGCATTTTTCGAGTTTTGTGTCAAAGCATCGTGCATCGCACCTTGTCCAGTAGACTTGGTATTGGGAGGTTAGGGTGGTCCTGGGGAGTTTGACCTGCCGACAGTTCCCCAGTGTCTCTATCTCTCTGTCCACACCTGCCAAGTCGTTCGCTCAACACGGATTAAACTTGTCAGCCCTGTCTGCTCCGTGCCATGCTGAGATGAGATCCAGCCTGACGTGGGGTTCCGGGCAGCTTTGGTGTCTGCAGCCTTCAGATGGTGTCTGCAGCCTTCAGATGCATCTCAAAGCCTGCTTTGCAGCCAAGTGCTGTCAGACAGCCTTGCGTGTCAGCACGTCCACATCCGAGGAAACGGTGCTGGTGTTCTGCAGGACCCGCACTGAGATGTGGCCCGCTCTGGTTGGAGGGAGGAGGGGGCTTTAAATCAAGGTCACTCTGAAGTAGTAGTGGATGTTTGGGGCCTGGCTGTCTTGGCCCTGAGCTCCCCAAGCCTCAGGGGCTTCACCACCCCAGGAGAGGGTTGTGACTGGCCGACCACAGAACCCCAGAGAGGGCTGAGCCAAGAACATCACAGAATCCTCCAATGTCAGAACTGTCCGGCCCAACCTTCTCATTTGCCAGAAGGACAGCAGCCCCGAGTGACCTGTCCAGGGCCATCCAGCAAGTGGAGGGCAGACGGGGACCCAAGGCGTGTCATCCTGGCCTGGCGCTCCCCCCGTGGGGCCAACAGCCAGCTTTCTCGTGGCAGGCCTGCCTCCAGTCACTGAGCAATTATCCTTGTTAATGAAGGAGAAGAGGCACAGAAGTCCCAAATGTCATTGTGTCCGTGGTTGCGCATTTTTCTAATGATATTTGATCCAGGCTCCTCTGCAGCCCCTGGCTGGGTGGGGAGGGGAGGCTCTCCGCTGTGCATGAAGCGGGTGCTCTCCTGGCACCGGTTCTGGTTCCCTGAATTCCTCTTGAGCTCCCTGTCGGCTCCCAGTGATTCAGTGCCTTGCCCTCCTCCAGCTGTGTCATGTTTGCTTCGTCCCTCCCACGTGTATTGTCACTGCCGGGCTCTGTCCTGTTTCATGAATGTAAGCTCTTTGGGGGCCAGCGCCTCTGCCTCCAGTTCCTATGTGTTCCTGGAGGCTGGGTACATGTTTGTGGGTAGAGGTGGTCCTGAGGGGAGGGAGGGCGGAGCGCAGGGCCCAGCGCCCATAGTAACCAAGTCTGGTTTTTCTCCCCCCGGTGACCAGGGTGCAGCATGTGCAAGAGGATAATGCCGCATTTCCAGAAGGCTGCCACCCAGCTGCGAGGCCACGTTGTAAGTGAGGCGAATGGGCCAGGCGGGGCTGGCTGCTTCCCCCCTGGGGAGATGCCATGGAGCGGGGGCGGGGGGAGGGCAGGTTTTGAAATCGTGAGGGGGACTTATCCTGTGCTGCTGCCCCTGCTGCCCTGGCGTGTGGTTCAGACACCTGTCCTCGGGGAGTCTTGAGAACCGATGCCATGGAGTTGCTGGGACCAGGAGAGTTTAGCACCTGTCAAAGGCCTGTAACGAAATAGCTAAGAAAACAGCAAGGGGTGTTGCCGGGAGGCTGGTGGCCAACAGCAGATCATCGGGGTCCAGCATTCCTGGGGCTGGGCTCCAAAGCGGCCAAGACTCCTGATGACGGGGAGCCCAGTGGCAAAGAAAGGGGCACAGTGACACCAGTGGCAGCGGAAGCAGAAGCAGGTGCCCGAGGCCGTCTCCTACCCAGGCCGCCCGGGCTCCTGGGGCCCTGTGAGGTGGGAGAATGGTGGAAAGGAGGCAGCCCAGGTGGGAGCCGGAGCTCTAGGTCTTGAAGGAACGTGTGCAGGGTGTGCAGGGCAGAGCAGACAGAACACAAGATGTTTCAGAGGGGACCTGAGGGGGAAGAGGAGCCACTGAGGAAACTGGCCTGCAGAGCAGTGGAAACAGCCAGGGTGGTCAGTGAGAGAGGAGGGGTGCTGGGCGGTCAGACTTCGCCCAGGGCTGAGGGTCAGTCACTGGTGGTCCTGGCCGACTCTGTGTTCCCTGCCTGCCAGGCTTGTCTCTTCTGTGCCTGTGTCTGTCCATTTCTCCATTTACCCTTAGCCACAGAGGTTTGGGGTTTGGGGGGAGGGAGGGGCAGGTGGAGAGGTTTCTTGATGGCAACAAAAAACAACAGCTAGCTCCGTGGGGTCAGCCAAAGTCCCACTAAGGGCGTTCTGGGTCTTAAAACTGCATCGTGATCTTTATGGGTCAAATTAAGTTGGCGATTAGTTCCAAGTCAATTTGAAAAGTTTCAGTGGCAGCACCTGGGTATGGGACAGCTCTGCTGGCGGCTGCAAGGTCGGGCTGCAAAGAGCCAGCGCTTTCTCTTTTGACCTCATTCTGGGGATACCAAGGTCCTGCGTGTTTCTCACTAGTGAATTTTTAGCAACTTGCCTGGAGACGTTTGGCCGTGGGGCACACATACATCACTCTGGGAACGTTTCCCTTAACATTTTGGGGCCTCCACAGATACCATATTTTAAGATTATTTCACCTGGAGAAAAGACTTAATTACCCACAGCATTCTCCTTATCTGCCCCCGCATACACACAGAAAACTGCTCCGCTCAACTTCCAAACTCCGGTGCAGTGGGAGGTCAACAGCTCCAGGCCCAACCAGATCACGAACTACCTGGCCAGCCCCTTCAAAGCAGGCCAGGTCTTGGTGCCAGTCTCGGGCACCTTCTGGGCGGTTCTCAGCCATTGCTGCATCTACCTGTCAAACCCAGCGGCCCCTCCCGCACGCCCACAGAGCTTGTCCCTGCTACCCACGGCCAGGTCTGTCCATCTTTGCTTTTGTTCTAAATCACTTTGCTCACCAGTTGACACTCATGAGTTTCTCACTGAAATAAGCCAGGTTCATAGCAGGTGCCCAATGCTGATAAATGAACGAACGAGTGTGTGGTTTGCTACTCCTGGGTCCATTTTATTTTAAGCTCTTTATGTACGTTAAAGTAATGTTCCCCTTTTTAAAGGAATTCAAAGCATCAGTTATTAAGGACAAAAACAAAGTGGGAAGGACGTTTCTGGGGCGAAGGCCTTCCCCCGTGGCCCTGGGTTCATACTGGGCTCTTTTGCAAGGGTAGCCCTGAGGTTACTTCTGTCAGGTTGCCTGGGCCCTGGTTGAGAAATAGAAAATGCGAGCCTTCCACTTCCCTAGACAGCGTTACAGGAAAGCCAGTGGGGTTGTCCGGGTACCAGGCTTGGCCAGGTGTCAGGTACCTCGACCTAAGTCATCTGTGTCATGTGAACTCATCCGTTTCCTCGCTTCTCTATTTTCTTCTTTGAGGTTTATTTTGTTTTGTTTTCCCCTTAGTTTCTTAGGGAAACATCTTTGCTTTCCTTTGAAAAGTTCTCACCCTTTCCCAGCTCCATAGAGGGGGAGGGTTCTGGTCACCATGGACACCACCCACTGTAGGAGGGATCTGGAGGCGCCAGCACCTGGTGCAGCCACAGCTCCCCAGACACGGGGTGACTAGAGGTGTGGATTCCTTTCTGCCCTCACACACAGGGCGGAGATGGGCTGGCAGTCCCCAGGAATCAAAAGCTCGCTCCCTCGCTGTTGCTGAACTCCAGCTGGGTTAACGCCCTCTGTCTCCTTTTCATCTTTGTCATCTTTGAGCCCTTTGTGGCCGTGTCTATGGCGAGGGCCATAAATCTGCCTCTTCTTCAGATGTCTTGGGAGGTATCCAACCTGATGATATCACTAAGACGGAAGCCAGGCCAGGTCAGGGATGCGCAGCCTTTGCCATTTTCCAGACTGAGATCTGCCTCTTTTGTGCTGTCACTGACGTCTGGTGAATCATCGGTGTCTGTCCCAGCTACTGCTGATTGACATCCTCGTTAGCAGGGGATGCTGCTCCCTGATCAGAGTCACCATCAGAATGAGCCTGTCCCCGTCTGCCTTCTCTTCCCAGCCTTGCCAGATCAACATCTACACTGTCTCTTGTTAACCTTGGCCACGATGGACCCTCTGGGTGCAAACACCGTGAAACGGGTCGGTCGTGGTGACAGATTTGTGCAAATCAGACTCCCACTAACCATCAGGGAGATCTTGGCAAAGAACCTTGGAGCCTCCATTTCCCCATCTGTAAAATGGGGAGATAACAGTAAGCCTGCCCACCTCACTGGAGTGTGGTGAAGAGCAAACGGGCTGGAGTGTGGAGACAGGTCTGTAACCTACAGACACTTCACAGATACAGATGATTGACACCCCACTGCTCGGTACTTGCTGTTCCTCTCACGCACTAGATGGGGGCGCTCCCATGGTGCTGCTTTCCACCCTCTTTTTTTAGTAGCGCACTGGAGCAAGGGCCTGGCGCTGCGCTTTCCTTGTCTCAGTATGGCCTCTCCCTCAGGGAGCTTATCTACCTCCACAGCTTCAACATAATGTAGCTCCAAGCAGCCTGAGTCCCTAAACCCTAGTACCACGTGCCAGCCTGCCTGCTTGACATCTTGGTCTGGATTTTTCTCCCTGTGTTCCAGATGCAGGATGTCTAAAATAAAATTCTGTATCTTCCCGCCTGGCAGACTGGCCGCTTCTCTTCACGACTATCCTGAGTACCCCAGGTTCCTCTGCCAACGTGCCAGGGTGTCATCACACATCTCCCCCTCACGGCCTCCGTCCTCTCCCTGCCCCCATTCTGGGCCAGGCCCTGGTTCGCTCACACAGGGTGGTTGCCAAAACAAAGACCGCTGACTTGTCTCCCTGATCTATGACTTTCCCGGGCCGCTCAACCTCTCTACTTAAAAAATGCAGCCGGGAAGCCCTCTGTAGCTCTCCAGCACCTCCTGAATAAAGTCTGGTTTCTTAGGCATACAAGTCTTCCAGGGACCTCAGCAAACTCATCCAGCCTTCATCACGCCCTTCTGTGTCCTGCAGTTCATAAACTGATGTGTTCCCCGTTTCTAGGGCCGAATCTTGTTTTGTTTTGCCTCCTTTTTATCTTCCGGAATGTCTGCGGAAATCTGACCCTCCTGTTGGCTGCGGAAATCTGACCCTCCTGTTGGCTCTAGCTCACATGTCCTGTCACAATGTGGGCTAAACATGAGGAAGAGCGTGTGGTGCCAACAGAACGGCCCCAGGCAAGAGCGTGTGGTGCCAGGCGCTGTGGCCCCAGCTTCTCCTTAGGTTGAGACCAGTTTTGCCTCATTCAACTTCACAAACTCCTAAAGGGTTTGTACGTAGTTGTTTAAAAAAATATGTATCTTTTTTACTAAGAAATGTCCCCAAAGTGGTATAGAAGTGCTACAGAAATTCAGAGAATTTAGCGTTCATTATAAGCTAAGGTAGTTTGGAAAATCTGCCAGGAAAGGTGGGATTTGATTTGCCTTAAGGATGAATGAGTCTCCGGTGTGGGCACCTTAAGCCAAAGGATCGGAAGACACAAAATAGGGGCATGGTGTGTGTTCTGGAAATGAGACCAGAATTGCAGAGCCTCTTAGCAGTCCTAATGAAAAGACCAAACATACAGTGTGTTTTGAGTGTTGTAGATCCTTGTACTATTTCATTTCATCTTCACAGCAACCACAGGAGGTGGCCGCAGGTGAGGAAATTGAGGCACAGAGACAACTGTGACTTATTCAAGGAAATGCATCTACTAAGTGGGGAATTGGGATTCAAACCCAGCCTCCTGAGCCTGAGCCTCCTCCTCGTCACTGTGGTTCGCTGCTTGTCTGCGAGGTGCCTTAGACAGCACTCGGCCCAACTTCTTCCCTGTGCAGAAATCTCAACCTGTCTCATTCCTGGGAGAAGAAAAAGTCTAGACCCCAGCAGGTGTGCATTGAAGGGTTTTGTAAGAGAGATGAACTCAGAAATGAGGTGGGGAGTGTATGTCTTTGAGTGTGAAGTTAGACTTTAGCCTGTACTCAATGGAATTAAAAGGTTTTGTGCACGGGAGTGATGTAATGAAAGAGGAGGATGTGGAAGATTAATCTTATGGTGAATGTGCACCGACACTAGGGAGATCAATTAGACATAAAAAGGAAAGAACTTTAAAGTAGACAATTATTACTGGAAAAGGCTGCTGAATCAGTCTGGCGAAATGAGCAGCATGGCTTCTCGAGGGTCCCAGGGCTTCGTGTAAGTTCTGTTTCAGGCTTGTTTTTCCTATGATTTTTGCAGCATCCCAAAATGGGCTGGGCGGGAAAACCCCAGTGATTTAGCAAGCATTTATTGTGTGCCCGGCATTGTGCGAGGTACTGAAAACAGTCAGAAAGACGAGTTTCGATGCCTCTAGGGATGGAGTTGTCAGAGGCACAGGTGGCTGCCACACTGGGAGGATTTGGCAGGAAATAAAGAATTTGATTATTGAGCACAAATTTTGTGCTAAAATCTCGGATATGGATCATCTCATTCAGTTCTCTTAAGGGCCCTGTGATAGTCTGATCGCCCACATCTTCCAGACAGGGAACTTCACTCAGTGACTGGCCCAAAGTCAGATGACTCCAACGTTGAGGCCGTCTCCTGAATGAAGTTCATTGCCCAATGAAACAGCTGCTTACCTTTTTCTCTTCCCATGCGTCCTTACCCATGGGAAGGGTTCTTCCTGGGTTTCTTCTTGCTCTTCTGTAACTGCCGCTGGCTTTTGCGGACTTCCTTTCCCCTCTCCTCTCCACCACCTGCTTCCTGTGTCTGGCTCCTCCATCTACATTCTCTCATGCAAACAGATCCAGAGTCCTCTTTCTGGGCACCTGATCCTGCCCTGGAGAAGGAGGTTTCTGCTCCAGGAAAGATGTTTAGGGGCCCCTGCTCCAGGTTGTTCTTAGAGCCGCCCTATCGTCAATATCAGCCACTAAAATTCTTCCCCATGCAGGGGTGCTGGGTAGGTGGACCCCTGCACCCAGAGCATGTTCAGACTTCGGAGATGGTGGTCAGGTCAGGCGGTAGGTGGTGGTCCCAGACAGGAGGAGAGAGTTGGGGAGGCCTAGCAGGGTCTGGAGAGAGGAGAGTTAGGCAGGCGGGTCATCATGAGAACCACACGGAGCTGCAAGGTCCGATAACGTTGCACAGGGAGCCACGGTGGACAGGCCATAGGTATCCAGGAAGGTGTCCGAGGACATGGCTGCGTGGTGATCCCATCATTTGGGAGTAGAGTTCAACCTTAGTTGACACGGGCAAGGAAGAGTCCTAATCTGTCCTTGGTGGCAGTGGTCCCCCTCCAGGACCTGTTTGAACTTAGTAGCAAGGCCAGGTTTCTTCCTCAAACCCCAGAGCCTCGTTTCTGCTCTGGGGTGTTCTTCCTACAGGGCAGGTGAAAGACACCTGTGCGAAGGGCAGCACTGGGGCCCAGGTGCCTCTCCCAGAGCTCTCGGCCGCCATTCCCAGCTGGCTCTGCTTGCCCTGCTCCCTGCTGCCCTAGGCTGCACCTCAGGTTCAGGGGCTTTGTCCTATTCATTATGTCCCCATCGTTTTTGGCGGGACAGCTGGACAGGAGGCACCTGGACAAGGCGAGGTGTCTGCTGGGCAGAGGGTGGACAGGTTGTTCTCCCTTCCACCCGAGGTGCTGGCCGGGATGAACATCTACCCCTCGGAATTTGAAAACATCAAGGAGGAGTACAACGTGCGGGGCTACCCCACCATCTGCTACTTCGAGTAAGTCCCCTACCTCCCTGCGGATGCCCGCCGCCTCCATGATGGCATTTGCATCCCCGGTTGAGCCCACATTGTCTCTCCACGTTTTACAGGAAAGGACGGTTTCTGTTCCAGTATGAAAACTACGGGTCCAGCGCCGAGGACATTGTGGAGTGGCTGAAGAAGTAAGTTGGGCATTTACCTGCAGGTGGGGGTCGGGAGCAGCAGCGGGGGAGCTGGTGCCCAGAGGGAGGGGCCTCTGCCAGGCCCCAGGGTGGTGCCTGGTCCTAGGGCTCTGGCTGCGGTTTGAGGACGAGGGCGAGGAAAGGGAAGGACCTGTTACGCTGCCCACACAGCTATTTCTGAGTTGCATCTCCGTGGGAGGGTGGGGCGGCTCTGAGTTTAGGATGCAGGCGTTGGGAGGATTTGGTGTGACTTTGGCTGTGATGATCGCATTTCAGATAGTTTTTTCCCTTATACTATCGGTCTCATGGATAGACGTGTTTCTTGCCAGGTGCCAGGTTTGAGACCTGTCACCGGAGGTGTCTCTGAAAATAGAATTGTCGTTTGCGTTCTTATTTCAAACATAGCACCATATTAGGAGCTATGCAGCTACTGGAAATGCTCTGATGCCGTAGGTGTGCAGAGCGCTTGGCTGTTCACCCTGCCCTCCCCACAGACACCGCTTCTTCGCAGCCGTGTGGGCCCCGTTGAGTAATGTGATTAGGCCCTGAATACCCCAAAGCACCCCCTCACCCGAAGGCCCCTCATGCTCAGCGTTGACTTTGGCATGATGGGTGGACCCTGACTGTGTGTGGATGGGGAGCTGGGGTGGGGCCACCTCTTCTGGAAGCCTCCAGGCCGGCCTAGCTGAGCGCTCACCTGCTTGCTTCGTGCTTGGCCGGGCATCCGTTTGCACTTACCAGTCACAACTGCTGTGTGGTCATTTTTGCATAATCACAGCTAACATTTGGGGGGCTCCGCTTTGTGGCTGACACTGTTCTAAGCACTTTAGGTGGATTCTCTTCTGAGAACAGCCCTGAAAGGAAGCTATGGCTGTTACCCTTGTATGAAGGAGGTTACTGAGCACAGTGGTCAAGGGCCAGGGCCCACCCAGCCGCAGCTCCCACCATCTCCACCATCTTGTAGCAGCTCCCACTTCGGGAGTTCTGGTCCGCCCCTCCCCCGTTGCCAGCCTGGTGGATATGTGTTGACATCATTACCCAAGGGGCCCAGGCTTAAAGAATAGTTACCAAAACGTGGAGGTGGAAAACGAGTACTTTCAGAAAGGGAGAAGAGGATGAATGTTGTACCAAAGAAAAACCCCACAAGAAACAAACGATTAGATTCTAAAAGTCGAAACTCTGAGTCCTCTGTCGGTGCCCAGGGGCCCGGGAGATGAAACACAGCGATAGCATCGTGTTTATGCAGGGTCTTTGATTTCTTGGAGCATTTCCTATCTCTCTCCCCATCTGTCACCTCATTTCCAGCCCCTGCCCAGGAAGGCAGCTGCCCACTACACATGTTCATTGTCTCAACTTGGGCCTTCGCTGCCCCCATCTTCCTTTCTCACTCGATAACAGCCGTGCCCGCTCCTGCAGCCAGGCATATCGCTCTGCTTTGGGAGGTTTCGGCAAATAACAGTCTCATTTGTCACCAGAGCATAAAAATCTGTCTGCTTCCCTCCCCTTCTCTAACCTTTTCTGGTTTCAAAATAGACTCATGTCTTTTTGAAAGGATAGGTTTGGTTTTTTAAAAAAACATACTGAGAATTGCTAACCATAGACAAGGGAGCATATCCGTGGCATTTCTGAGGTGGGTTATTATCTCCTCCTGGGGCCCGCCACTCTGTCCCCACCCCTGCTGTCTGCACACTGCCCGCCCAGCTTCTCACGGATCTCGGCTCCAGCCCGAACCCCAGGGCTGCCTCCAGGTCTGTGTCCTGGGTGGATGCCTCCCTCTCCTCACCCACCTTGTTAGCAGCTTCCGGTTCACCCTGGGTCTCCAGGTTGGTGGGATAACTCCAGGCAGGTAGCATCTGGGTCTCCCTGGCAACCCCTCCAGAGATGTCCAGCCACCTGTTCACTGTGTCCGGGGACACACGCAGCCCACTCCCCCGGCACAGTGGGCAAGGAGGCGACCTCCGAAAAGACCCCAGTGAGCCGCCCCACCTCACACCCCAGCAAGAACTAGCAATGCCACTGTGCTGCCAACTGGCTTAATTGTTTAAAACTCTTTTAAAATTAGATTTTAAGGCTATTGAAATGAGATATATTGTTCTAGAAAAACTTAAAAATATAGTTAAACAACAACAAAAAAAGCCCCCCTCCCCACACACACACTTCCCAAAGATAATGAGATGTGTTCTGATATTTTGGTGAGTTTCCTTCTAGATTCTCCTCCCCTCCAACGCACACACATATACCCAGCTCTGAGGACCGGGATTTTAAGTCTTTACCAGATTTCCCCTCAAATCCTGGTGGGTAGCAGTGACCCACCTCTTCTGCTTCCCTGCCCTTCTCCCCTGGGCCTCTCCATTGCTCACCGCGAGGGCAGCCCAGTGTGGAGAGGATGAGGGTGGGTCCAGCCTGGCTAATTCTCTGGATGACTTTCAGAAGCTCGGGGAGAAGAGCCCAGATCCTGCCCTCCGACGAGTGTCGCTGGTGGGTGAGCATAGTGTGAGGCTGGGCAGGGAGTCCCAGTGTCCAGTGTGCCAGGGCATTGGCAATGGCCGCTGGGCCCTCTGGGCTCCTGACAGCTTGTTTCTCAGGCCCCTCTGCAGATTTCATGCCGCAGCGCTGGGCTGAGTAGGTGGCGTATGCGGAAGTGGCAATCCCTTTGGCCTAGCCATCCATTTCTGCCTGTTTATTTTTTGTGCTCACCAGAGAGAGTTGAAAACAAGCGCAGAGTTTTCTTATGAGGCTTAGACTTGTATCTCCTCTTCCAAGGCTCGGGCACTTGCCTCAGGCAAGGATCTGTGCGAACCACCCAGGGAACCCAGTCTCAGGATCAGAAGGGAGTGTCAACGTCAGTGAGTCTGCCCCAGCAGTTCCCTTTATTGTTCGCATCACCTCTAGGATCGATGTAGTCAGCTCAGCCCCACAAACACCCCGGAGAGCAGGGCTGGGGCTCATTTTGAAGCTGTCCATTCCTGTTTGAAGGATTCTTATGATTGAGGTCATGAGCATCTAGGAACATTTGGCTCATACTTTGTAAATTTAGAAAGTGCTGTCTCACATTCATTATCTGTCTAGATGTACCTGAGGAGTAGATAAAGAAAGGCCCACATATATATGATCTTGTAGATGTTTTTTAAAATATATATATATTTGATTGATTTCAGAGAGGAAGGGAGAAGGAGAGAGAGAGAAACATCAATGACGAGAGAGAATCATTGATCAGCTGCCTCCTCCACGCCCCCTACTGGGAATCGAGCCCAGAAATCCCTGCATGTGCCCTGACCAGGAGTCAAACCGTGACCTCCTGGTTCATGGGTCGACACTCAACCATTGAGCCACACCGGCTGGGCTGTCTTTTGATGTTTTAAGTCAAGTTGGTTGCTTGAGCCCCTAGACCTGCAGTGGAGGAAATAGGACTCCAGCCCAGGTTCTCTGACCCCCGATCAGCTCTCTTTCCTGCTTACCTGTTGTGGATGGAAGGTTCTGTCTTCTGTTGAGCTGCAGTTCTTTCTCTGGGGCTTCCATTTGTTGGTGTTGGTTCTCCTTTTCGGGGCCATGGAGAATAAACCTTAATTTCTTTTCCTGATGCAGTCGGAAATATTCAAAGGTAGTTGTTGTGTTCCCCGGGTCTTCTCTGGGTCCTTTAACCATTCTTCTCTCGTTCCATCATTTACTCAAAAAGCATTTGTTGGAAATCTGCTGTGTGTTAGGTGCAGGGTGCAGGGTACAGAGATAAGAGGGAGCAGGAGCCCCCATCTCCAAGGAGACAGACAGTAAAAAACGTAATTCAGGAATAGTGTTTGGCCTCAGGCTTGTACTCAATCCCCCTCTTCCCAGTAAGTCTCACCACTGTGCCCAACTCTGCCGTCCTCTCCAGAGAGTAAGCTTCCTGCTGTGTGCTGGGTGGGAGAGGGGCGGGGGTGTGCACCTGGCTGCTAGAGCAGGGGCAGGATAGGGCCTGGCTGCTCAAGCTTTCAGCTGCCTCCTGTTTTCAGCCCAGAGCCCCAGCCCCAGCCCTGCTTCAAGGGGGTGGTGCCTCTGCGTCCACTGGAGTTTTGCACATCAGTGTGGTTCCTGCCCCCTCTTCTTCCCTCCCCTGTCCTGTACCCTTTGCACCTGCAACAGGATTCTGCCCTCAGTGTGGCTAAGTCATTTTTCTAACTTCTAAAATGGCACTGTCCTTTTTTTCTCTCTTCATGGTTGCCTTCTTTGTGCTCCTGTGGGTTCATACTTACAAACAACAGCAACAACAACAAACTGTACTGTTATTTTAGTGGTTTGGGAGTGTGTTCTCTGCCATGTTTAACTAGAAGTTTCTCAGGCGTTTGCATATGCTTCTGCTGCTAAGCCATGGCTTCTCCATTCAGTGTGTAGGCTTTGCTGGATTTTAATTATTTTAATATTCATTCCATTCATATAATTAATTTTTAAAAGATACTTAAAAATTATACACTGAAGTCTTGCTTCCACTTGTTTTCTCCCTCTTACCCCCTAGAGGTAGCAACTTGGATTCGTTTCTTTATGCAGACACAGGCAAATGTGAATAAGTATTTATTAAATCTCTCCCAGCTTTGTTAGCATGGGATGGCCTATTCGGTGTGTCCGGGCAGTCTGCCCACGACAGTGGAGCAGCTTCCTGGTCCTTTGCCCTGCTCAGCCCTCTGTCGGGTGGACGGACTGCAGGCTACCTACCCATCTCCCACCAATGACACTGGGCTATTTTCAGTCTTTGCTATGACAAGTCGCCTACGACGAATACCTTTGAATGCACATAATTTTACTGCGTGCCAGTGTATTGTAAAGATAAATTCTCTGCAGTGGAATTGGTGGTGTGTTTGGAGGTGTTGGTATTTTGATCCCAAGCATAGGAATTTAGGTTTCTTTGTGTTGGTCTGAGACCATTGTCTGGCTGGTGACGTTCCGGAGCTTGATTTTGCCACCAGCCCCATTTGATGTTGGATGCACAAGAGCTGAGAGTGGGTTGCCATCTCCCTGCCGCTCCCCATTACTTGGGACAGGATGGCTGAGGCTGCCAGCGGGGCCTAGTCAGAAGCACCAGGAGGGCTTCCGAGAGGGGGGCGGGTAGCGTCACACCCAGGCCCTGCTGTGAGGTAGGGGTGGCGGATTCCGTTGTCTCCACCACATTGCTCTCATAAATCCTCAGCCCTGGCCGCTGGAACTTTACACTTTTCTACTATCAGCTCTGAGAAGCGGGAAACAATGGTTGTCTTTTCACATTTGTCATCCTAATGGGTTTTTTCAAAATAGCAATTAAGGTGCTTGTGGCAGTGAAGCGCCAGGGAGCTCGGTCACCAGTCACGGAGGACACCTGAGCGCCTTCCGCTCAGAGAGCAGACAGCTGGCCATGTGGACACCAGCACGCAGTCACCCTGGGCGGGCGGAAACGGGCTCCACGGAGGCTGGGGGCTCCGAGGTTTTGCAGGCAGCGATGGTGGCGTCGGGATTTGGACTCACCCCAAGCGGCTCTTTCTGCTTCAGCTCTGCCTCGGGGAGAACTAGATAAGCTTGGCCTGGTCTCTCGGAAGGCTTTGTGATGTACCATCCATGCTGCCATACTTAGGGTGCCCCCAGCCCGGTTCGCTTGGCCCCCCTCTTGCTTTCCATGACCTCCTCCCACACTGGTCACCCAGGAGGCAGCCTCTCTCTTTCCTCCTCACCCCCATGTCCACCCCCCTCCCCTATGGTCTTCCCTCTCCGGGTCCCTGCTGGTGGGGCACTGCTAGACACAACAGCAAGCTTTCCAAAGGCCACTCTGCTGTGCTATTTGTTCTTGCCAGTTTGCTGAAAGTTTGAAAGAGCTTGAGAAGCTCACAAACCTCCAGATTCCAGGGAGGCAGCGACATTTCCTGAGCTGCCTAGAGAGCTATCGCTGCACCCCGCTATTCATGATGGGACATCAGCGAAGCACTTCCGAGGGGCTTTGAGGGGACAGTGGAGGTGGGCAGGGCCAGGCCACTC